ATCATACCACTGAATCAGATGTTGCAGAGCGCAACGACAAGGCAAAGTCGGCAAACCTTGCGCTTGACCCGAACAAGCCTCTTCACATAACGCTTCCTACTTTCCGCATGGTCATTCTCGCCGACGACGCACTACTGAATTTCTTCGAAGTCGGCTTCTCATCGTCCTTCCGCCTGGCCGACGAGACGCTGTCCTCGGGATCCAGCTTCCACAACCTCACCACTTTCGCCAATGCTGGAAGACAAGGCGGCGGAGGTGGTGGACTAGGCGGTGTGGTCGGCGGCGCTGGCGCTGGTGTTGTGCCACCCGGCAAGGGCCTACGAGGCATGCTCGACAACATCGTCAATGACGGAATGCGCGTTGCAACTGAAGTGAGGAGGCGATACGACGAAGCGCAAAAGGAGCTGGACAAGGAAGCTCGACACGGACGAGAAGACGATGACGATGATGAGGAGGTTGATGCGAAAGACCTGGACCTCCTGGAGGGTGCCGAGACGGTGGACGTGGGCGCATCAAAGGGGGAAGCACCGCTGGACCTACTGTCACCGGCAGGTACTGGGGAAGAGATCAAGCCGGCTAGGAACCGGTCGGCTAGTGATGCGAGTAGAAGAGTGCTTGAGTTTGAGCGGTAGCATTTGGGACGTAGCAGGAGTGATCTCTTTGGAGTTTAGGATTATCTCAAGACCTTGCTTCTGTGTAGACTCATGTATGGAAACGTTCAAAGTTATCTTCTGTGCACCAAGATTAGTGATGTCGCCTACGTTGCATAGCCCATAGTCGGAGGGCGAAGACCCCTGACAGCTATCCGACGTCAACCGCGTGCGTGTCTCTAGCTCTCCACAGCTACCCCGCAAGTCTCGTACCTGGCCCGCGGCTCAGTTCCGAACGAAGCTCACTAACACCAGCTTTCTCCACACGAGCATATCTCACGATGCACGTGTATCCTTCCTTACCTCCGATGCATTCCGCGTCTGAAGATGCTTCGGTCGCTCTTTGCTCGTGCTGCAAGGTCCCGTAGGCCTGCTTACTGCGCACGACGCGGTCTACTCACACAAGCATACAGCATTGGGCCCAATGAGGCATGTTCCAAGCTTCCCGATGATGTGATGTTGGAGACTGACGTTATGATAGCCGCCATTACTGGAGAAGACGGTGCCACAGCACTTTGACGAGGTTGTGAAGCAATACGGTGACAGGAACGCGTACGTGCCGACTGACACAAGCTCCAGAGACGCGTTGCTAATACTCATATAGAGTCATATCGCACCATCAACGTATACACCTGACGTACGATGCGCTCGATCGCGACTCGAACAGGCTTGCCAGGGGACTGCAGAAGCTTGGCGTGAAGAAGGGGGAAAGAGTCGCCGTCAGTCTAGGGAACAATGCTGAGTTCGCTACTGTATGTTGGAAGCATGTTGGAGACGCATAGTTGCTGACCAGGGAAAGCTCACGTACGCGCTGTTTAAACTGGGAGCGATACTGGTATGTAGCCAACCGGCTAGGAGCATGGGCACTAGCAGCTAACAGCTACACAGGTGCCACTGAATCCCTCGTTCAACGCACCCCAAGTCCTCAACGCGATCAATCACCTAGATGCCGCGCATCTCGTCATCGGAGCCGAAACGAACCTCCCGCGTAAAGACCCGCGATCCAACATCTCGCTCCTCACGCACTTGATACCCAATCTCGCCGGCTCGACCCTCGAATCCGAACTCGTCCCGTCGCTGAAGAACGTCATACTGGTGAATAACGCGCAAGGCAGGGTGGATCTGGGAGACTATAGGAGTCTAAAGAGATACGAGCACGTATTCGAGGATGGCGCACAGGACAATGCGTTCGAAGATCAAGGCCTGCATCCGGATGACATCGTCAATATCCAATTTACGTCTGGCACTACAAGCATGCCGAAAGCTGCGTGCTTAAGTCATAGGAGTATTTTGAACAACGGAAACAGCATCGGCGATAGGATGCTATTAACGCCAGACGACGTTGTGTGCTGTCCGCCTCCATTGTTCCAGTAAGTCCTTGTAGCAATCTACTGTCAACATCAACTGACTGTTTGTAGTTGCTTTGGATGCATTCTGGGATACATGGCCACGGCTACCCACGGTAGCGCCATCGTATTTCCCACCGAAGCCTTCAATGCCCTGGCCACACTTGAAGCCGTTCGCGAATACAAATGCACAGCCCTCTATGGCGTCCCCACCATGTTCGTAGCTGAACTGGAGCTGCTGGCTCATGGTGCTGTACCCAAAGATGGTTTTCAATATCTGCGTACCGGCATTGCAGCAGGCTCTGCTATACCCTCGGAACTCATGCGCAAGCTACACAAGAACCTGAACTTGACTGAGTTGACCATCTGTTACGGCATGACCGAGACCTCTCCTGTATCAGCCATGACCACCACGGACGACCCGATCGAAAAGCGCATCGACAGCGTCGGTCGTCTTCTCCCACATGTTCGCGCCAAAGTCGTCAGTCCGTCAGACTGGTCGCGCACACTTGACGTAGGCCAACGCGGCGAACTCGCAGTGTCAGGCTACCTCCTCATGAAAGGGTACTGGGGTGATACAGCACGCACAGAGGAAGTTCTACAACCGGACGAAGACGGTATGCTATGGATGCATACCGGAGATGAGGCGTCTATGGACGAAGAAGGATACATCAAGATTACTGGCAGGATAAAAGATCTGATCATCAAGGGGGGCGAGAACATCCATCCACTAGAGGTCGAGAACTGTCTCTTCGCTCATCCTGCTATCAGCGAGGTTAGTGTGGTGGGTCTACCCGACGAGCGGTACGGTGAGGTTGTCGCAGCCTTCATAGTCACGCATGCTGGCGATGATGGGAACGTGACCACGGACGAGGTGCGAAACTGGGTCAGGGAGAAATTGAGCCACCATTTAGGTAAGTCCATGCGCTCCTACAACATCGAATTCGAAGCCTCGGGCCCGCCTAGGAACTATGCTGACTGTATGTACTAGTGCCGAAGTACGTCTTTTGGGTCGACAACTACCCCAAGACTGCGAGCGGGAAAATCCAGAAATTCAAGTTAAAAGAGCGAGGAATTGCGCTATTGCAGGAGGGTAAAGGTCTAATCTAACGTCCTGTGCGCCTTGCACTCTGCAATAAGAAACATACTTCTCTTGACTGTCGTGGGTATCGTGGATCTGATGACTAATTCGGAACAGAGACTTTCTTGACGAATTTTGCAGATCTTACAAAACCATTAACAGTGGCAACATCTGTCGCTAACCGAGACCTTTACAAATCTATTCCTAGCTAAAGGCATGCGGTCAACAAGGATATTGATGTATAGTACTTTATACGAGGAACATGTGTGGGTCGGCTCAACATACTGCATTCAGGCGCGTAAGCCTCGCAGCTTGGTACTATCCTGGTCTCCTAACGCGGACAAGAGCGCCTGCACGCAAAATTTGTTACCCGCATTATGGACCATTCTTGGACGAGAAGCGAAGCTTTGGATAGGGTTTACAAGCTTGCTGGCCAGTTTGCGCTGAATTCGTGGGTCATCCGCTTGAGCCCTTTTGATGCATGAAGTGCGCCCTCCAACACACTCGCACGCATAACTTTCAATTTCTAATCGCGCCTTTCTTGCACACCGGACTATCTGTTATTGAATACTCACGTACTAGTTATCCGTACATTGTCGCTCTTGCCTCATTCTCTATAAGAGTGCGTAGGCTAGCTAGCATTCGAAGCTCAACATCTCTCAGCGTGGACACAATACACCTCCTGCGAACCAGGAACTACTTCCTCATCGACATCAAAACTAAGCCCTCCGCCTCCTACTAGTCGAGACCGTCCCAATAGGCACTCGCCTTCACATACGCGAACATGTCCAAACCAGCAACAAACACAAAGACGCCTACTCCCTCTAACCCCTCCTCTCTAAAGCCCCGCTATGAGATCCGTAAATTAGAACCCAAAGATCTGCTCTGGGCGACCGCCATCCTAGCCCACAGCCACGGTTTCCACTCCGCGATCTGGCAGCACATCTGGCCCGACAAAGCACTCGGCCGCTGGACACTAGAAAGCGCCAAGAAGCTCGAGTACCTCGTAGCCCACCAAATCGACTCTGGCCTATCCTACGGCGTGTTCGACACAGAATACCAGTTCAAGACCCCCGAGGCGAAAGAAGCAGGCGGGAAGCTATTCTGGGATGTCAATGAACCCGAGGAGAACAGTGTGGAGCAAACCCAAGGGCGGAAGGCAGAGGGCTTGAGACTACTCCGGCAGATGGATTTCCCGTTGGTTAGCATAGCGTTGTCGTACGATAACTTCGTCCCTCTCGATCCCGCGAAGATGGGCCCGGTAGACGAAGCGATACCAGAATTCAGTCCGCTCTTCGGCGCTCTGAGGAAGCTCGACCCGAGGGATCCAGCGGAGTGGAAAGCCACCGCACCAGGTCAGGTACTGATGCGCAACGCGACGTCTACACGCCACGATTATGAGGGCGAGGGTGTTGCGTCGGGCGCGGCGCGTTGGCTGCGGCGCGAGGCCAAGTTGATGGGGTTTAGGGGTATTCAGATTGAGTGTATTGCGGATGCTGTGACGCATCTTTGGAGCGATGGTGTGGAAGAGCCGTTTAAGGGGAGGGTGGTCAGTGAGTTTGATACGGAGACTTGGGAGGATGAGGAGGGACAAAAGCCGTTTGGTTTGGCGAGGCAGAGGTGTACTAAGTGCTGGGTTGATCTGTAGGCTGGTGGTAGATGACAGGATGAGAAGGGAGTGGATTTGGATTTGAACGCCCTAATGGTTGCTCAATTGATTGTGCTGCGTGGAAGCGTCCTCTACTGATATTGAGTGATGAGACCTCTGACGTCAGTGCCCAGGTGGTGTACGTCAGCCGACGGGCACAGTCAAGAACTGCAACACTTTCTGAATCACAACCAAGCTCTGCTCGCATGTTTACACATGACCTTGGAATCAATTGAAAGACCGTAGTAATTCCGATACCCAGTAACATCGACAAAATGACCGATTTTCGCCCGCGGGCTGAAGCCGAGCTTCTCATTACAAGAACATGCTATCTCTCAAACGATCCCGTCTTCTTCATAGTCCTCATCATCGCAGAGTACAATTTCAAAGAGGGAGTTATATACCTCCAAGATGGTTTCGCAGGCTCGAGGCTTTACCAGCCCATGAACTCTAGCCAATTTATCCAGAGTTTCGATAACGAGACGGGTGAAGAAGTTGAAGTCGTGCGCCAAGGCACAGAGCCAGTTCTATTTCGTGAAGACCAAAGCGAAGTCATTTTTACGACAGGGAGGCCCAGTAAATCCTGCGAAATGCAGTTCATTACTACTGCTCTCCGACCAGATAGGAAGTACAGACTGTGCTTCAAACCGACAACCCCGATTTCGCATTGGCCAGTCAGCGCGGTGAATACTTCGACTTCTCTTTCAAGAAGCCCGGGCGGTTTGCTATCTGCGTCTGAACTTCCTACACCAGCCACACCGACTATACCCTGGCAGGCCGCCAACGGCAACGACACAATCATCTTCGAGACCCGAAGTTCGCGACCAAAGACACCAAAAGTCACCGCCTCTCTATCAGCACCATCAACATACTCTCTCTCCTCTCCCACCAAGAGATTCGCTTTCACGCTCACGTTCTCGACGGACGCCGCGTATCCCTTTACAGTCCACGCAGATCGCGCATGGGTCAAGTCTCTTCAATCCGACTTGGCAATCCTCGACGCAACGTCGCGCTGCAAGCTCGAACCTTATTTAGAGATCTGCCGCGACCATTATGAGATCGAAAGAGACGAGTTCGTAAGATTCGAAAAGACGTACATCGAACACCGAGAGTTAGATTTCGGAGGCGGAAAAATGGACAGATTGAAGCTTGAGGTTGGCAAAGAGTACATACTCTGCCATCTCGGCGGATCGTGGTGGTGGATGGAGGATACGGTCGAGGAGGTCATGGACTACCTTGCTTCTTGGAGTAGCGCAGGTCTGGAAGTAGGTACGACAATCGAGTTTCAGGGCGCGGGTGAAGTGAAGTTTACGGTGGTGGAGTGATGATACTCTGAGGGTAGACGATAATTCTACTGATGTGCACCTGGAATATCATACAAGGACCGTCTTGAAATGATACTCAGATATGAGCCGTTGCGCAGTCTTGAGATAATCCTGAAGAGCATGTAGCTGTCAATACACTGGTACTGTCCATTCTTCGAGCAACACATCGACGATATCTCGATCCACCGAAATCGAAATGTTTTCAGTCTCTGTCATTTCCTCATCCTTCCCTAGCTTTGACATTGTGTCCGCAGTATCCTTGGTGCAGTGCTCGTCCTCATCCTTCATCAAACGTCGTCTTTTCCTTGACGAACGCTGGCCAGCGTCCTGCTCCGTTGCATCGTTTGGCGACCCTGATGGGTATGGGTCTATCATAGACGCGTTTGAAGGCGTGCGGGCGTGGTAAATTGGAATATCAAGCACAGAGAAGTCGGACGACGCCATCGGCTCCGCGTACCCACTTGAAGAGGAGTACTCGGGGGTGGGACTATACGGCTCGTACCATAAAGATGGCGTCATAGCTTCCAATGCTACCGACGTGGAACCGCTTTGTCTTTTAATGCAATTGCTTCGTCTTGCAGGTGAATCCTCGGCATCGGACCCTACGTATCTTGATGATGAACTGGATGGAACAGGGACGCCTCGCTTCAGGCCAGTACGCTCAAACTCTTCAGGAAATCCTTGGATGTGCTTATTAATATTTATTCCGCGACAGATCCCGTAAGGAAGCTCCTCTCTCCCAAGGTTCCGCTTTATGCAGATGCTACACGGATAGTCATAATCGCACTATGGTCAATTAGTACGACACGCGAAAGTGATATGATATACTATACCTTAAGATTGAGGATTTGACAGTTGTGGCAGGCTTCCACTAAGCGCATTGTAACCGCATTGTTCTTTTGCTCTGCTGACAACGCGCGTTTTCGACGTTTCCCCATCTTTGCTTTGTATACTTTTCCTGAGCCTGCATTCGGCCAACCTAAGACGCGTGGAGATGCGTGCGCATCTTGTCTTGCACTGCTTTCAGGCTGAGAAGGGATATCCTCTGTTATCGAATTATCTGTCATCGATTGGCTGGTGCCATCTTGTTCCCGTTCCAAAAGTGGGTTCCTTTTCCTTTGCCGACAATCTAAGAACATCAACTGATATTGATAGTCTCGCAGGGCAGTGTTAGGGCTCGGCGGTTGTGGTAAGAGTGTCGAATCTGCGGTCAGCATGGGAGACACGGTATGCAGCGAGCTTTCGGCACCGCTTTGTGATGACTGAGATATCTCAGGAATCAAAGATCTGCTGTAAGTAGGCATAGAAGGATTAGAAGTAGAGACTGGTGGTAGCATGGGCCTGTTGAGCATGTGCATAGCAGGACTAGGCAGGCTTTGAATCATCCCTGACATTGGCTGCATTGCAGCATGCGAATGAGCTTGCTGGTGCTGCCAATGAGCTTGTTGGAGCTGCGCCTGAGCTTGTTGGTGCTGTGCTTGAGCCTGTTGTTGAGCCATAGACTGCTGCCTCTGAATCCGCGCCCACATCTGCGATGATGTTTCAGAAGTCTGCTGAGCCAGTGATGACTGTCCTTGACCAAAACTAGGTCGTTGTTGCTGACCAGACAGATGCAATGGAAAGTCTGAGGCTGCACTTCCACTCGGCACTGGAGGATAATGGGGCGTTTGCGCATCAAATGATGGAATCGTTTCCACGGATTCAGGGGACACAAGAGGCGGGTGCTGTGAGCTCTGCGTCGACGATATGGCATCGAGATTGGGTGTCTGCTGAGGTACTGCACGCTGCCCTTGGCTGAAATGGAAATCATCCAATGGAAACTGCGTGCTCTCGTCCGAAACGTGAAGAAAGCTGTCAAAGTCAAAGCTCTCTAATTGGCCTCCGTTATCGTTCATATCGAAGTCGATGAATGGGGCAAACTTCGGAGCGTCGCCAGCTGACGGAAGTTTGATACCCGATTCAAATTTGCGACAAAAGCGTTGGTACATCTTGTGCACGTGTCGCTTCCGATGTTTCTTCTTGTCGACATCGAAGTTCTTTTGTAGCATCGTGATGCGCTTCAGAAGTTTCTTCACATGGTCCGCTGCTTTTGCTAGTTCTTCGGTCGAGATCTGCTCCTCATTGTCACCGCCTGACATCGTAGCGTCGCTATCAGAAGTGTCTGGATCATCTGCGGTTGAAAGGTCGATGGTAATGGTGTCTTTCTGTGGCTTTGCGGGCTTTTCTAGCGGAGGGAGATCCATAACGGGAGCGCTGGTCATAAGCTCCAAAGTTGGAACACGAGAGGCGGCGCTTGATCCTCGAAGGGTTTCTTCGTCATTGATTGCGATATGACAGAATCTGTTTTCGAGAGCTTGCAGGCTTTTGAGTGAGTCCTGCTGTCGCTGGTGCAGTTCGCGGATCTTCTCACGCTCTTCATCCAAGACACCTTTTTCCATTTTTCTGTGGCTATTGTCAGCTGCATTTTATTCATGGTAGTGTATTAACTCGGCTCACCCTCGCGCCTGACCTTGGGCTAATTGCAAGACATGCAACAAAAGCACAAGGCTGTTCTTCAAACTCTCAAGTCTCCTTCGGTTCAATTCGACCCGCTGTTCCTTCATCGGCCAGGCCAGCTTACCCATCACGCTCAAGCTTTTCTTTCCATCCTTTGCAGTATTTCTCCTCTTCTCTACTATTTCTGATACTTCGTCGAAGACGCTTTGGCACTTTTTGATGATGTTGTTAGCGTCCTGGATAGCCTTCTTCGACACGATGGATCCGGCCTCCTCGGACTCAAACACTCTGCCTACGCTTTCGAGCGCATTCGATGTGAGCTCTACATCATCGGCAATGTCCTTGACGTCTTGGTCTGCCCGCGCGGCTGAGTTCGTGAAGTTGTACAACGCGACGCTGAGCTTGGCACCAGCCCCCGCGATCTGGATGATGCTAGCTGCGAGGCCTATGACTTCGGCCATCGTAGGATACTTGCTGCGTGCGCATTACTTGTCTGTTCGAAAGTGTCGCATCGCAATGGTGCTAAGATTGAGCGCGAAGATAAGGGCGGATTGAGTGGGAAAGCAGCCTTCTTGCGAAGGCTGAGTGCCTGCATGACCCGCTGCGGCTGAGGCGCAGCCGCATGCTGTGAACACCTTGCCATGGGAATTAGAGCAAATGAGGATGCCGTCGCACATGTAATGCTGTACAGCGCTTTGAGCAATGCAGGCAAAGATATGCGACAATTGTTTCGCGTATAGACATGATAGGTGTCCTACGTAGTGCTTGGGCCAGTGCAGGTGCATGTGGCCCTCAGGTGTGCCTGCCTGTTTCGATTCCTCAGTTCCGCGCCTCCGCATCGAATCACTATCTCACACCGGTCGACTGAAGAAAAAGGCGAGCTCCTCTTCATTTCCACAAATTGTACCTTGACAATGACACGTGCACCAAAGAATGAATGGGCAAGCAGCTCTCTTCGGTTTTATCGCGGCCGAGCTTCGCACAATAATACACCGGCTGCTGGATGAACAAGCAGAAGAGTTGGGAGACCATACAGTGCAGGAGCTTCGAAAGAGTAAGCTCAGTCTGGCGCATCATGCAGAATGTGAATGGTATAAACATCATGTTCTGAAGCTAGGCTCTGGGTATATAGCGAAACAGCATGGCAATGCAAGAAAAAATGTAGGAATGGCGTGTGACTTCATCGAGCGCCCTCAGCTACCCTCCACCTACTTGACATGTACAAGTTCGGGTGTCTGCTGGTAGTAATCCTGTTGCCCATTGCCATAGCCGTACGTGACCTGCTGCTGCGTAACGGGCGCATACGTTTGTTCGGTCTTCTCGATTGTCTGGTTCCAGGAGACGTGTTTGGCGATGCCCAGCAGCGTTATAAAAGCCAAACATTTGACTAAGCCGATGATGTAAGACAAGGCTAGCGATGCGCCAAGAGAAGGTGTTACGGGCCAGTAGATACTGGATGAGTAGACTACCCCCAATGATGCGTTCACGAATAGGGTAACATAGAGGGCGGTAACCCAGCCGAAGAGGTCCTGGGGCTGTTAGCAAATGTACCAGTAGACAGTAGCTGCCATGGACTTACACCTCCGGGTAAGCGTCTTGATCTCAATGCCGAAACGTTTGACAGAGATATAGCCGCCGAAATAATAACAACGATCATCCATACGATGTCGTAGGCAAGATCGAGACCATTTGAAACTAGTAACGCAAAGTCCCAGTTGGATTCCAAGGAGTTGTCCGCCAATGCGACGTAGGCAAACATGCTGACGTCTGCTAGGATGACAGCAAACGCAACGCCAATAGTAATCAGAAGTACTGTTTTGGAACCAGATGACATGTTCCCAAATTGCTTGTGCAGCATGGAGTTCAGGACGTAGACGAACACGAACAGCAGCGCAGCATTGGCCAAACTGCTCATGATGGCGGAGGCAACGTTGATATTCCAATAATCAATGTAGTTGATATTGTCGCACTCTGACATGACTTGGCTTACGAGACTCAAAATTCGCGCGCTGGAGCATGTTAGCACTTCTAAAGCCTGTGAAAGATACTTTGTCCTTACATGACTTGGAGGAATAGGGCTGCAACGAAAGGTACACCAATCAACTTCTTTCCGGCACCGCTCTTCTTGCGAATAAAGAACGTCGATATGAAAATACCCGTGTACAGAACCAGGAACAGCACCACAAATGCGAGCGCGGCTTGGGCGTACGGCGTATTAAAGGCGTCCGGGCATGAAGCATTGCTGTATCCGGTGCCACCGCCGCCGCTGCGTCTGGGTGCCATGGCAAAAGGGTGTTGGTGCTGATCAAGTCCCTAAGTTGGATTTCCGAAGTCAATGGGAGGTGAGTTGGCGTTCGACTGACGATAAGACGCGAGACACGGTTCGCGGCGACCTCAAGAGTATTTCAGCAATAACAACTGCATGCTGCATTGGTGCTCCGCCTTCTCACAGCCTGCAGCCTTCCCGTTTTTCCCGTTTTTGGGATTAAGTCAGGGGCAACTGAAGCGTCGCTAAGCCTCTCAAAGCGTTTGTCGGGCGCCTTACTGTGCCAGAAGGATCGAAGCGAGAGTGCGCGAGATCCTGTGGACGCCTTGGAGCCGGGGTGTCAAAGCCTCAGCGCGTAGACATATTATCTGGCAAACCCCGACCGCAGTGCATTCGAAAGATAAGTATACTGCTTGGGTTTCTCGTAGGAAGTCATGTCCGCGATATGTTGAAATGAGACGAGGAGGCTGGTTGCGGGTTACGTCGGGGTCAACGCTGTTGCCAACCCTAAACCAAAAAAGACCGGGCTGTGCCTCAAATAGCAGTGGTCTGCGGGTAGTCCGGCTCTGCAAGCGGCTCAAGAGAGTGTCGCGTCGCAAAGTGGATCGATGCGATGGCACGGCTTGACAGGAAGGCCGCCCAAAGGTGCCCAGGTGATCGCCCGGGCAATTTAGCCTTGCGAGTGGCTGGAGCTTCACGTGACGTGGCTAGTGCAGCCACGGATCAGTTTCCGCGATGCAGGGCGCGGCATTACATCATGTTCGTCGCCTCAACCAAAAGCCCAATTTAGCTGTACAAAGTGACTATTTTTAGACAACAGTATATTATACTTACAATTTCTCTTATTTATAAGAGTATCTTTTTATTAAGATTATTAATATTATAGAAGTTATAAGTAGCTTATCTTGCTCTACGTTATTATAGTACTATAGTATTTTTAGACAAGTAAAAGGTAAGCTATATTATATTATAAGTATAGACTACTACTACTACTACTACTACTACTACTACTTTATTCTTCTTCTTACCTACCTACTATTAACGTTTTTATTATTATTAGTCTCTAGTACTATTTTCTATTATTCTTCTATAAAGAGCTACCTAAAAGAGCTAGATTAGATAACTCTAGATATACTTAGCTAACTCTACTATAGATATAGAAAAGTTTAGTAGTTTACTAAGCTTAAGATTATTCTAAAGGTACTTATAAGGTAGACTTTACGCGTAGAGAGGTAGGCTAGTTAGAAGATAGCTTATATTTAGAGTTAAGAATAGTAGACGTAGAATCTAAGAGAGAAAGAGTTTAGCTAGATTTATATAGAAAAAGAGAGAGAAAGCTAGTAGAAGCTAGTACTAGATAGTACTAGCTTATAGTAGTAAATATTTCTTTTAAAGAGTCTAGTAGCTTTAGTAGAGTCTAGTAGCTTTAGTAGAGTCTAGTAGCTTTAGTAAAGTTTAGTAGCTTTAGAGATAGAAATATTTAAAGTTAAAGTAAGAAGATAGCTCTAAGTAAACCTATAAAATTTATAGAGGCTATATTCTTATATATACTTCTTTCTTTAAAAAGACTATAGCTAGTTCTCTAGCTAGATCTACTAATAGTAAAAGAAAAAAAAAAAAAATAAAGAAAAAAGTTAAAATTTTAACTATATTAAAAATTCTTAGATATAGCTTATAGTTTATATAAGCGTGTATATATTTATATAGTTTCTTATATAAAAAAGTGCACCTCTAAAGTATTTTCTACTACTCTAACTCTAGAACATAAAATTTAAGCTAAATAATATTTCTATACTCTATAAGAAATAGTATCTTAATTAAGGCTATATTCTAGAAGACTTAAGATAGTAGAGTAGAGATACTAAGTAATTAATAGTTAACTATAGCGCTGTTTAATAATTAGGTATAGTATATATTAATAGTGTAGAGTTTAGGTAGTAGGCGTAAAAGTAGCCTCTACTTCTTACGTACGTAGACCTCTTTAGAAGCTTTTACGCTAAAATCTTATTACTACTAGTATAATTAGACTTTTAATTACTAATATCTTTAAGTAGAGAAGTCTAGTCTAGAGATATATTAAGGCTAGAAGGTTTAGGCTTATTAAAGAATTTCTAGTAGAAAAGTTTAGTATTATAGTAACTAAGATAGTTACTAGCTACGTGCTAGAAGGCTTTAGAGAAATTAGTCTACTTAATAAGGTAAGCCTACTCTTCTTAAATCTTATTTACTTCTAGTAGAGCTACGTTCTTAAATAAATCTATAAGCTACTCTTTATAATGCTTACTAGTGCTATTTACTACTTCTACGCTAACTAGTTAAGTGTAAGCTTAATTAGAAAGAGCTTTAGTAGCTAATAGGCGTAGTAGTTAGAGGTAGAAGACTAGAAATATAATATTTTAAAGTATCTTATTAGAAAGCTTTAATTTATATATACGCTCTTTATAGATAATATAGGTAACTACGTAGAGGCTAGCCTATTAATATATAAGTTTTTTAGAATACTACTTAGTTTACTAGTTAGTTATACTTATATAAACTTTATTACTAATAGAGTATAGTAGAACTATATAGTAAGTAGAATTAGCTTAAGTACTCTATTCTTGCTATAACTATAGAAGTTATTTCTTTAAATAGGCTACTAAGTTACTATAGTAGTTTATTATTTTCTTAGCCTGTAATTATTAGTTCTAGGTAGGTAGAGAGAGATTAGCTTTAATGTCTTTAACTAGGTAGACGCTACTATAGAGGTAGTAGCCTAAGTCTACAAAAAATAAGGTTATACTAATACTTAAATTAACTATATTGTTTATCTAGAACTTAGTAATATAAAGCTAGGTAGCCTAGTTATCTTACGTATAGTTAATATATTACTATAAGTAAGTCTTAAGAGACTAATTAGTACGCTTAGTTTACCTATCTATCTTAGAGTAGTAAGTAGTAGATAGAACGCGTTTAATTCTTAACTTCTAGTAGATATACTTCTAAAATAGAGCTATAAAGTTAGTACTATAATTAGATATAATAGTAAGAGGTAGCTTATAATTTTTAAATACATCTATAAAGTAGCGTAAGGCCTTATAAGTAGTTTATCTATAAGTAGAGTAGAAGAGCTTTTGTTTAGTTAAGTAATTAATAATAACTAAAATATTTTAATACTCTTTACTATTAAGGCAGAATAGAAGTAGATTCTAAATA